TAACGTCAATCTGTTGACCTCAGAAAATGAACTCATCAGATGTTGGACCCATTCGTGCATGCGTATGTCATATCCAGCACGTTTAGGAAAATCTACGGTAAAGATTGTTCCAAGGATTGGACATGTGTGAAGCTTAACGACACGAAATGTTTCCGTTCGGGCTCCGACTGGATTTACGGAACAAGATTGTATAATGATCAATCGATAAGAGCAAGATTTGTAGTTGTAATAAACTGATAAGAGAATATGATATGTTGTTTTGCGTATTTAAAGTTTCATTAGTCCTCAATTGTTACATGGTGGGAGTATTTATAGCGGTACAAATAGAATGGTGACCTTTGGGTCAAATTACACGTGGCCTCATCTCCTCAGCCAAAGCATTAAATTCTAGCCATCAAGTTGACATTCCTAGCTTTTCAAAGCATTTAATGTTCTTACATTGACAAGACATGACACAAATACACTTTTTTTTTAACAAATGTCACAGCAATCATTCAAACAAAGATCTTCATCATGAGCAAATCCCTGCACATGGACCATCGCAAGCTGAGAGGCCTCGAAACGGAAAGGTGCCTAAAGAGTGACTGGGCCTCTACTGACAATAGGGCCTCAGCTCCACAGTTTAACTTTGATGGCCATGTGGCAGTCTCCAGTAACAAATCATAACATAATCAATCTCTTATTCTTGATTTAAATCCTTTATTAATGACTTCCACTAGTAATGATTTTTTTTTTGTTTTTTTGTACTTCTTTTTTAATTTCACACTTCCTTACAAATAAGACTTGAAAGGTCACCAAATTGATAAGGCTATGCTCTTACCACTTGATTTTGGACGATCTCGTTTTTTCATACTTAATTTAATTGCTTGTATTTGTAATGGTAAGTCTTTATAAGTTATTACGTTCACACATTAACATTTTACTCGATTAAGTTGGTAAACTTTTCCAATCAACTTAATCACTCAATCAAGTAACATTTGGTCTATTCATTTGGGTACAAAGTTGCATTAATCATAATGTTAAAATTGTATAAACCGTAGGTATAATTCATCCCAACAACAATGATAGTATTAACTTTTTTCAAAATCATATAATTTTCAAATTTTGGTTCCTAACTTGAAACACAATTAAAGGTTTCAAGAATATTGCATTCCTAGGCAAAAATATTGCTAGGATACCTACCTCACGTGTGTCTAGAAAAACCTACCCATTGGACTTGGAAACATCTTTCTAATTTTGCAACCTAAAAAAAAAAACTAATATTAATAATTGCATAACTAATCTTCGTGTTTGATACTTTAGATTGAACTCGATTAGAACCGAATATAATGCTCATGCTGAATTTTATTCAATTGTACGCAATCTAATGTACTAAATTTTGTTACGATGTGGCTTTTGGATATTAATTAGAATTCTTTTCTTTTACATAAAGGTTCAAACTTCAGTCCCGTTTGGTGGGGATGAAAATCAGATTTTAATAAATTTTGATAAAAGTTGATGATGTGTAGTTGAAAAATTTTAGGTCCCATAAAATATATATATTAAATTAAATTAAAATTTAGAATCTAATCCCACCAAACGGGCTCAATAATGTATGTAAAATTTACAAAATAATTTAAACATACTTACCAACTCTTAATTAATTATTAACTTGAAGAATGCCCATGGGACAAATTCAACTCAACTCCCAACCCAAGGCTTCCACTCCAAAATGTCTAGTGGGGTCGCCCCATTTTTCATTGTTTATTACTAAATACTACACCATTGACTACAAGAAATTTCACTGCTAGCCACGAAAATTTGTCTTGAATAATTCTTAACGATCAATCGAGAGAGAGAGAGATTTGTACCTAAATTCTTAGCTGATAAGACGAATTGTAATCTGAATTAAGAGAGAGTGCTTATTTTAGGCTTCATAACATGTTATACTATAGCAACCTTGTCATAATCTCCATATATACATTCACTGAGGAAAAGATTTGAAGTGTTAAACATCAAAGTAAAACAAGAAATTAATGATCAGTGTTTCATCATTCTGATAGCCAGTGCTTGAAGCTCACTCAAGTCACTCTGTGAAGCTCCTTTCTTGCTAAAATAGGGTTGGAATGAGACTTCATCTCTGCTGCTTTGAAGATCCAGCGTGCCGATATATCCATGATGATGATCAATCGAGTCAAGTGAGCTCTGAGGTGAGATCGAACAAGAATTCATGTAATTTGTTTGAAAAGTTTGAAATGATGATGCCATTCCACCATTAATGTTGCAGCTTGGCCAATGATTTTCTTGATTCCTTGACTCAACCAAGTTTTGTGCCAGTTGAGCCTTCACTTGCATCAGTTGAGCTTGCAAATATGCCACCTACCAGAATTTCAAGGAAAAAAGTCTTTTAACTTTTCGAGTTTTTGCTTGAAAAAATGAGTTCAGTCAGCAAATGAGGGGGCGTGTTTTGATCCATCTAGATTTTCACACATCCGCGAACAAACAATGATGATTGGAAATGAATTACCTGTTGTTGCAAGGCAAAAATGTGTGATACACAGCCATAAACCGGATCTCGAATTCTGGCTTGAGCTTCATAAGCAATAGTAACAACTGCCTCACATCTATTAGCCACAGGAATGTGCAGCAACAATTTCGACACATTACTGGCACCAAACACCTTGTGAATGGCTGCAAATCTTGCCGGGCCTTGCTCGGAGCAAAAATAAGGGGCAAATATGCAATTGGCCGCGCACTTGCGACGGAGAAACTTGCATGCACCACAAGGAGAGGCAGTACCAGTTGCCATATAAGTTTGACAGAAGAATATATAGAGAGATAAAGAAGTTTTAAAACAATATAAGCACACGGGCACACTAGGAAATGGTGCAGATAAGAAGAGAAATGAATATGGAGTAGGGGGTGAAGTGGGGCTTCTTGTTCATATAAAGGGTCTGAAGAGGGGACATGGAAGGTATATGTGTATGGTTCAAAGGAAACATTTATGAATGGGTTGTGCAATGTGGTTTTGAATCTCTAATGGTTCAAGAACTTTAGACTAGCATTTTCTTTGTTATAATATTGATAATTACTTTAATAAAAAATATTTAAATTAATTCGAAATCATCACCACCTAGAAAAAGAAGGATGGCAATAAGTTGACCATCACTACAATACTTCGTCAAATTTTTTGATATTATTCTTCAAGTAGCATTCAAAGGAGACACGATTTTCGGTTAGAAGGAAACGTGGTAGACCGAATTAACATATTTATGCAGGAGCATACTTAAAATATGGTGAATTCTAACTAAACTGGTTTTTGGTGGATTCCCAAACTTGATTTTCGGTGATGTAGGATAGATACGCCGCTGGTATGATAGAGTTGGAGGTCCCGTGTTGGGAGCATTTTTGTTGCGTGGACATATAATGTTGGAACATGTTTGAAATGAGATTGAACTTGGGTAGGATTCTTGGGCTTTGACAAAGTGATGGTACATACCCTACGCTACATAACTTGTCGTAATTGTTATAAATTTTTCGAGACTAATCCAACAAAAATCGAAAGATTCAAATAATTGATCTCAAACTTATTGAATTTAAAAACTCGAGTTTAAAGCATGCTACCACTTTTGGGCATATCATGTTAGACCATGTCACATGGGTGAGATTGAAGGGCGAATTAAAGAATGAGATAAGCCTATTAATGAAATAATATACATATAAGTTGTCCTTTATTGAAAATGAGTTTGTTTGAGTCAATTTATAAAATAATTTTTGCGCCGAACGCCGTACCTTGGAACTGCTGCTAATTATTTGAAAATTTACACGTATTGGTGAAGCTTCTTAAATTAACAAATCAATTATTAATTAATTAATAATTAGTAGAAAGTGATTTGGTCTTGACTACACCATTCGTTGGATTATTTGAATAAAGAAACAAAACAAAAGACACATTAAAGGGTCACTTATGACCCTTTTGACTTGGAAGCTTAGGGGAGAAAAAATTGCTACTTTTGCTTTGGGATTATAAGTTAATTTAATTGGAATTTGGGTCCCCAAATGGTCAAGAAATCAGTGTTTTTGGTCCCCTTTTCTTAATTTTTTATTAGCTTAAATAAGTAGAAAAGTTATCAACTTATTGACTTGGGTGCTCATTGTTTTAAAATTCTCTTTGCTACGGAATTATTTTCAATCATATATTCACACAATAACATATTTTGCACGTAAACCCAAATTTTTTTCCTAATTTTTAACCCCACATATTCTTCTAAAAATACTATTCGAAACTAACTCTTTTTTTCTTTTTTTTGAAATAATGGGCACCAAACAGGCCTTTATTCAAAAACCAGCCTCGCCTCTAAAGATCAAAGTCAGCATTACATCACATTGAAGTTGAAGGCAAGGCAAAGTAGCAAGTATACGTTAGTCACCAAGGAAAATGGCACCTTTCAGCTTATTCACATGTTATGCTCTTTTTATATACTTTCTTCACACCTCTAAGCAACTAACCACAATTTCTCATTTACTCAGCCTACTAACATTATCACTAACTTTTGATGTGTCTAAATGCATCTTAAATGCACACATATAATGCTGCTTGCACGGATAATTTGCTCGATAGGAACATGTGAACTAGGTATACACAACGAATAGTTACTTGAAGTGGACCGAGAATACACAAGCGATCTAGCCATGAAAATTTGAAAGAAAAAAAAACACAGAGAAAAACTGTTTATAATCCACAAAAGAGTCGTTTACATGAAAATTATCGTCCCATTACTTAGAAAACGGATTACAATCCACAAAAGAGTCATTTACATGAAAAGTATCGTCCCATTACTTAGAAAACGGATTACAATCCCAGAGACAAAAGTTAGACCTACAAAAAACCCCAAAATAAGATCTAACCATAACCAAGAATTCGACCACAATGATGACTGAGATTGAGCCCCAAGCACAAAACGATACATACCATTCCTAACACAATTGCGCATCAATAGAATCTACTTGAGAGCAATGCATCACCTCTTGTGATGGAACCTCACCTTCAATAAGAACTGCATCTTAACCTGCATAATAACATCAGTCAGTCACCAAATCAAGTTAGCATTTCTAAACTAAGTTTTGAAAAACTGTATTCAATTGAAGATTTGGGACAAGATCTTCATACTTTAACTTTCTCCAGCACAATCTTATTGTACATCTTTAATTATTTGGACACACCAGATAGAGAAATCCAAAAGTTCAAAGTAAATGATCCCAGTTCCAGTTCTTGTACTTTGTGAAAATAATATGCTAATTAAGCCCATGTTTTTCTCCCTTTAAAATAAAACTCTTTAATTCTCATACTCATTTTCAACTACGCATTCACATAATAAAATACTTTGTATGTAAACCCAAAACTTTTTCTACTTATTAACTACACATTCTCCAAAAAAATAACTATTCAAAACATCCTTTTTTCAAAATAATGGCCATCAAACAGGGGCTAAATCTGGTCGAAGCAATGACAGCCATGGGAATGGAGAATATCAGGTATAAAGACTCCCCTCATAAATAATGTCCATATCTGCCATGAAATCCTACTAGAAATCGTAATAGATTTGATTGCCAGAGAAGAAAAGACTCTGTTTTTCGACTTTGGTCTTTCCAACTTGGTCTCATTTCATATTCAACTCTTCAATTGCATAATGTCAAAGAAGACAATTAAATCAAGAGGAGGAGAAAGTTTCATGAAAAAATAAAAACAGTTCATGTCTAGAAATTTTTTGAGCATTAGCCTCCGTTTGGGAAGAATTTACAAATGATTTAATTTCTATAAATAGACAAAAACGAATTGTGGATAAGTAGGTAGTACTTGTAGGTCCATTAAAATGCGGGGTTGAAAATGAAGTTTAACTATTTAGGAATGATTCATAAATTTTGTCAAACGGAGGCTAAGTTTCAATTGTATCATGATATGCAGGTCAAAACGCCATCTAAATAAATTGACTTTACATTGAATGTATCTTGGTATTCTTGCTTAAATTAAAAGAAATTAGCATCTATCTTTAATAACAAATAAAGACAGTTGAGAAAGGCTTCCGTTTGTTAGTAAAAAAATTAATAAATAAATAACTTGGAAATAGTAGACGAAAGTACGTACTTGAGCTTTGTCATAGACAATATATTCATTATACATAAGCTCTGATGCCTTGACATTTGATGCCACTGGTTTTCCACATGGTACAACAACTTCATCTCTCCACTTCACATATTCTGATTCTAGAGGCACTTTTTTGCCGAGGCCTTTAGTAGAGTGCTTCCCTTCAGGAAGCTTATCTATATACTGAATGCAAGTTAAAAAACATGTGAATTTACTCAAGAGCTAAAACATTAATATCAAGAATGTTAAAACCTGTGTATAAATATGTGAATATAGATCTGGACATTATGCATGTAAATAGTTATCAACAGTACAAAAGCTACAAAAATTAAAATGGTCACCTTTGCCTTTCTTAGCTCGTAAACCTCGCCTAAGGCAACTTCACTAAGAAGCATCAGTCCCACAGGATTTTTCTTATCAGTGAAACAGTATTGAGCACTTTTACTGACCAGGTCAGCAAAGTATATTCCCTTACCAAACTACACATTAAAGAGAAACTTTTATTGGTTAGACCCTGTGAATGAGCAAATAATTGGGTTAAACTTCCTAAGTAGAACTTCACAGAAATATGATAAAGGAGTAGAAACCATGTAGCCTGTTGCTGGGGCTTCAGGAGGAGCAATTCGTAATCCTTGGCTTAGGATACCTACAAAGTTGGTCAACCGAGAACCTGTAGGAAACAGAAAATTTATGTCCAGTTGTCAATATGATTTTATACCAGACTGCTTTTCATAACTCTGTAATTCAGTGAATGATATTTCAATATATAAGAAAATTCCAGTGGTTTTGTGATTCATAACATCATAAGCTTAAGAGGTTTCAAATTGTAAATGTTAGTGGCCATTATAACTCACCGTGCCAGAGAAGCATCTTGTTCTTCAGTTTTGCTCGATACGGAGCATACTTGTCGAATTCACCTTCCCTTTCAAGAGAAAAAACTTCCTCCAGCTCCAGAGCCCATTCCTGAGAAAGAATGAGAGATAGAAATAAGCCAAAGCAGAGAAGAATCTCCATTGAATAATCATATTCATCCAAGGAAAGACGAAGAAGATACAAAAATGGAAACAGGATAAAAGAGTCAATAAAAAAGGTAGAAATATGGAAAGGAAACCACCGTATGAGTAGGAGCATGTGTAGTCTGAATATATTTCTCAATCAGTCGATAGTCTTCACTATCATGAGGAAGAGGTGAAACATGGCAACGTAGCTTCTTGTACTTCTCATCAATTGATTCATCATTATCAATGTCAAAACCAACTACTCTTGAAGCTATTTCAATGTCCTGGAGCGCTTCCAGCATTTGCACCTAGCAGAACAATGTAAACAGATTATTGCACTGCA